AAAATACTTTTTTTATAAGTGTTATTTTTCGTTTTATATACAGAAAAAATTATATTTGATGCAATTTGTATTTTACATATTAGAAAATTTCTTTTATTTTTTTGACAAATGTTTGACTATTATTACTATAGGTTGTACAAATACATGTAATATTTAAAATTAGACAAATACTTATACAATATGTCTAAAATTAAATTATTTCTATAAACAACTAGCGATAATACGTTTCAACTTAAAATAATGAAATACTTCCATTATATTTTGTAATATCTTCCAATAATAACAAATTAATACAAGTTACAAAAGTAAATTTATATTAAATATTATATTTATATTAATTTTATATAATATATCAAGCATATATGCGCATAATATTCATTCAATAAATAAATTAAAATATTATGTATCCTTGTATAATATATTTATATTTATTTTTTATATTATATTATATATTTTTTTAATCAAATGTATACTCAAATGAATCAAATGTAAATTTTTGAAGTACCATTGAATAAATTGTTCTATAGCTATGACAATATCGAGCACATATGTTGATGATTCGATATATAATGCTTAAAAGAATAAAAGAACGTGGTTGGTGGGGATCCATGGAAATGACGCTGTATCGACCACTAGTGAGATAAATTTTCTAGCAACGTACGACCCAACTCTCACGTATTATCGCGGAAGCCTCCAATTGAGAATCCCTGCTTTAGAGGTCAATCAAGGGCACCTTGTACGACATTCATCGAATTTACTCACATCATCATTTCACTATAAAGGTTGACGTATCCTTGTGATAAAATGTTCTTTGTTGAAATATTCTTTATTGTTTATGTGATAAAATTCATTGATAATAATATAAGTCATCTTATCATGACTTGGTAATGATCTTGATGAATTCGTCGAAATCGATTGCATCGAAGATATTCGAGAGTATCAATAGATAATTGTATGTATTTAATATTATTGAGTTGCATAATTCAATTGAAAATTGGAGATAAATATTACATAACATTCGTTATACAGGTTACAATATTCATTTATACAGATATATATATATATATATGCGATTGGTCTTTTAATCAAGTATTTTTAAGATGGTTAATAACTAGAGGATTACTTAGTGCACACGCTGTTGTCGATTTCTAATTGTCCTCGTGAAGCCTGGGAGGCAATTTTTATTTTTTTTAAAAGCATGGTTTGAGCTTCAACTACCTTTGCAGGATTTCCTTTCCAAATCTTCATTACTTCGTTCTTTGAAAAAAACAAAATTGAAATAAATTTTGTATTTTTAAATGTGCATTAAATTAAAATAATATTTGTAATTTTGATGATGGATTAGAATATAATATACTTGTAAAGCACGTCCATAACAGTATGTCAAATGCCAAGGTTTTTTTCCTTCGTAATTTGCAATAGCATTTAAATTTATCACAGAATCTTCGTCCGTTTGACCACCGCTTAGAAATAGGATTGCTGGCACTGCTGGTGGTACTGTTCTTTGTAAAGCTAATACTGTATGTTCAGCCACAATCTGTAAATTTTTGATAATTTAATGATGAAAAGATATCGTATATTTTATAAAAATATTCTTTTTTATTGAGGAATCGAATTAAATTAATAATTTCTCAAAATAAGATCTTATGTTATGAAATTTAGTTTAAAAAAAGAAAAAAAAGTGAAATTATTTGAAGGAATAACGATTTGAATCATTATACCTGCGGTGTACAATTAATGTCTTCTTTCATTCCTGGCAAAACCATCGCTGTTTTCAATATCAAACCTTCGAGATAAACTCGATGCTGTTGTAAAGCACGCATTACAATAGATAACACTTCTTCATGAACTTCTAACGCTTTATTTATCCCATGCTCACCGGTGCTTAATATTTCTGGTTCTATTATGGGTACTATTCGTGCACTCTGACATATAGTGGCGTATCTATATAAAAATTAATTGTTCAATTATATTATTATAACAAATATAAAAGTTTCACAATTATTACGCAATTAAGATTTATCGTGTTGAAATAAATTCGATTGTACAAAACATGTTTGCAAAATTATATAATAAAAATGTATCGACTTACGGATAAATCGGTAATTTATATATAATAGTTTGATTACATTGAATCATTTAAAAATTGACAATTATAAAATTTTATCAGTGACCTGATAGAATCCTATACTTTCTTTTTACATGTAAGCAATAAACAACTCAAAGTGCACGATGGAAATTTTTCGTTTAGACATTGACAATATATCATTGATACTGTTTTTAAATTGATCAGCTTTTTGAGTACAATTTATATTGAAAAAATGTTCAGAACATGAACTATACTAAAAAAAGTAATAATAGAAACAATAATAAAATAATAATAGATATAAAAGTTGATACTATTTTTGAAGCTCTCTATCTTTCAATCTCCTTAATATAACTGATGCAAATTACATTGACCTTACGTATGATCTATGTAACATTCATAATTTATATAGATTAGGTTAAGTTAGAGAGAACATAAATTAGAGAACTACATAATGTCTTTACATTCTTGTACTTTAATTTGTCTCTTCTAATTATAATCTAATACAAAAATATAATTGCAATTTATCTCATTTTCTTAAAATTAAAAAAAAAAAAAAAAGAAAATGTACTTGCGATCAACAACTTTTTATAAATTTCACAAGAAATTATAGAAGAAAAAAATAATTTGCATTTTTAAAATTTGTCCATTCTTTCCCTTAATGAATATAATGATATAAACCTTGCCAGGACATCCGCATTCGTAGTCATGGCCAACTGAGACGGCGTGGTCTCCGAGATGCTGAATGTGCATCTCCATTTGGCAAAATGGCAGCCGTCTCTTTTATATTGAATGCATCTTTCTTGCAAATTGTCCAGGCCTTCCGTAGAATTTTCGTTTTTCGCGCCAAAAAGAGGGACCAATCCCTTGTCGACCTTAATACCGGGCATGACATTCCTTTGACGTAAGAGTTCGATCATATCGATGCCATCAGCCGTTTTTTCATAAATTGTCTCATGATGCAGAATAACACCACTTATGTATTTTGAAAATTCAGACTGCGATGAGAAAAATGCAAATACGAGCGCGTCAGAGTTTCAGTTTGTGACAATGATTCGTGATTTCAACTCATCCAAGTCATTGAAGATTCTTATTATTCTTAAGAGATTAATGATAGTTTCTTAAGAAGCGTTGGCCTTTTTCATTTCATCAATGCTATAATTCGCGGTATATTGTCTATAATAATTTCGGATAAATAAAAGTTGCAGATTATAGTATAATGACCTTATCACTTGAGAATAACATTTGTCGATAATTGCGCCGATTAGTTTCGGTATTTTCCACACCGAGCTCATCGAATCGCCCTTGCAAAGATGCAGGAGACTCGTCACAAGCTAGTAATCCTTTTCCTGGAACTACGACAGCCTCCACAATTTTTTTTAACTCCTGACAGAGTGCTGGCTCTAGCTCCGTGTATTTGGTGATGGGCGATGATATCTGATTGATAAATATTCTTTAGATGTAAAATATTCGATGAAATTTGATAGAAAAATAATAGAATTCGATAGAAGAATAGTGAAGTTGAATTAAAATTAATATTATGATTAATTTAAATTTTTAATCTGTTAAATTTTTTAGAAATCTAAAAAAGATACTAAAATTATTTATAATGTAGTTAATGTATTATGCAAGTAAAATGTTCGAAAACTTTTTTTTTAACAAATGTATCGTTCGGTTTGTTAATTAAATAATTCTAATTCAATAATTTACGTACAAAAAAGAAAAGAAAAGAAAAAGAACGAAATATGTATGAGTTTCAAGGTTATACAATAAAATTAGAAAGGTCAGTAACCATGATGGCATTCGAACGAGTTATATTTAATTTCATGCATCAATCACTCAGCATTCTGGTCTTAATAATTTCATAGCAAGCAACACTTGTTTAATACAGATTTTACACTTTCAAAGTGTAATAATTATTATCAGACACTGATATAGAGGCAACAAAGTCCAAAGATGATATTAAATATTACATCGTAAAAATAAATAATAATCGCAATTATGTTTTTAAATTGTTAATTTCTTTTTATGTTAGATAATAGATAACATAAATAAATATTTTTTTAACATAATAATAATAAAATTAACCATTTTATATCTATATATTTATTACTTATATGAAAATTTTTTTTTTTTAGAAATGTACATTTTAAGAAAAAATATAATAATATTATAAGAATGATGTTACCAATATTAGATATCAATATAAGACATTTAACATTGATGGTAAAAATAGTTTAAGATGTTTCATTTAGTTTAAATTTACTTTAATTTTAGGTTAAATTTCTTTCTTACGTAATTTTATTATTAATAATGATTTAAAAGATATATTTCTTTATTCATTTAAAAAAAAAGCAAAATTTCTAATAGGTTAACAGTTTACCTTATCTTTGCAATAACATTTATCTCCCAGTCGCTTCATTATTTTATAAATAATACTAGAAAATTTAAAAAATAGAAATGTATTTTTATTTTAATATATATGATAATATGTAAATATCATATTGATGAAAATTTGTTAACAAAAATTTTGTTAATTAAAGAATAGGAAATAATAAAACAATTGAATATTTATTGCTTATATGAAAGTAGAATACATTTGTGTATAATTTAAAATATAATAATGAAAAATTAAAATATTTATTCGTTTCTAAAAAAAAATTATAATATTAATTTAAAAAACAATAGGAATTTTTAAAGAATAAATGATAATTAAAAAAAAGAATTATTATAGATAAGAAATTAAAAATTAAAATATTTAATTTAATCAAGCAGATTTTCTAATTAGTTATTACCAACAGTTCAATGAATGTTAATAAAAAAACCCTAAATATTGCACAGTTATATTATCATGAAAAATTGCCTTAAGTCTCGACAAATTTTTGAAATGGAAATCGATGAAGAGGACTGTTGTAATTTGTTAAATCGAGGTTAGTTACGTGCTCGCGGGATGCACTAGAATATTGATAGTTCGTATGCATTTAAAAACTATTTTGTGGTATTTTAACGTTAACGTATTCATTTATACGTAAGTCTTATCTATCATTCCGTATCAGGATATTTTTTAGTGAAAAACTTTCGATTAAAATGTAGAAGGTTAATCATCGATGCGATTGAACGGTAAATAAATGTTAAAAGACATAATATTTAAGTCTAATACAGGTTTAATTAATTTAGAATATTAGTTAAACGCTACAATGAGTAATAGAGAAAAAAGTGATTTACGATTAGACCAATGCGTTAAATCGAAAGAGGAAAAAGAAAGAAAGCAATCAGTGACCTCACAAAGTGACGATTCTGATTCAAAGAAAAAAAGGCGTAATACATGCAGTAAGGATAAAAGAAAAAAATCAAAGCACAGGAGCAGCTCTAGTAGCTCTAGTTCCTCAAGTATTTCTAGCCGTGAGATTAAGCATCAAAATGATAGAGATAGAAGAAATGACAAATGGGATAAAAGATTTGAGAATGGTGTTAGACCATATCGACCAAATCCGAGGGAAAGTAGAGGATATTATAAAGGACGGAGTGGATACTTGGATAATCGTAAACGTAACTTTGGTTATCGACCTTATAAACATTCTGGATTTTATGATAGAAATAGACACAACAATTCACAATATAATAGGTATAATAGTGAAAGAAGAGGTAATAGATTCTTAAATCATAACAGTAGAAGACCACCTTATGATAGATCTAGAAGTAGAAGCACTTTGGATCATGATCATCAAAGAACTTAAAAGATTCTAGTGAGCAGTCAAGAGAGAGTAATTCAAAAGAAAGATATGTAAAACAAACTAGTGCTGATAAAACAGACTCAAAAAGAAAAGATATAGATGACACGCATATGAAAGGAAAAGAAAAGAAAAAAAATGAAGACACTCAAGAAAAGACTGATCATATTGCACGTAAAAAATTAAAAAGAAAAAGATCATTGTCTTCTTCAAGTACCTCAAGTGTTAGCAGCACTAGTAGTGACAGTAGTAGCAGTAGTTCTAGCAGTAGCAGTACTAGCAGTAGTTGTAGTAGTAGCAGTTCAGATACTTCTGAAGATGAAAAAAAACGTAAAAAAGCAAGAAGAAAAGCTAAAAAATTAAAGAAAGCTATGAAAAAACGTAGGAAGAAGAAAAGAATGAAGAAAAAATTAAAGAAAAAATTGAAGAAATCTAAGAAAAAATTACGAAATACTGATAAATCCAAAGAAAGTATTTCTAAAGATGTTTCTCAAGAAGTATCAGAAAAGTCAAAGGCTATGGCACCTATGACAAAAGAAGAATGGGAAAAAAAGCAAAATGTAATACGTAAAGTTTATGATGAAGAAACAGGGAGATACAGGTATTTGTATATAAAAAATATAAATTTATTATTTGTAATGTGTACATACACAATTTATATTCATTTTAACATTTTTACAGGTTAATTAAAGGTGATGGAGAGGTCATAGAAGAGATAGTGAGTAGGGATCGTCATAAAGAGATAAATAAACAAGCAACTAAAGGGGATGGAGAGTACTTCCAAGCACGCTTGAAAGCCAATGTTTTATGAACTATTTTTCTATGTATGCTAAAAAAATACCCTTATATAATAATTACTTTATTGTCAGTGTTAAAGTCCTGTATGACAATATGTTTTATAATGTCTCAGAGAAAATACTTATATGTTGTACATTAATGAAACTTGTCTACAGTGTGATTTTAATTATATTACATGCACGTAACGTTTAATCTAGAACGTTAATGACCAAATGTTGAATTATAATCAACAACGAACATAATTTAGATTATAAGCCATATAGTCATATTTTTTTCATATTATGACTATTTGTGTTCATTGTCATGTATGAAGTAAAGAAAACCACACTTTTGAATACATCGTAAAAACACTAAACGTAATGTAGTAATACTTATAAAGAAAATTTGTAACTATTCAATTTCAATAAGCCAGTTACATTATTTTCGTAAATAAACAGTTAATTGACAATTGGTAAATCATTTTAAAATATAAAATTTATTCTCGTATTTGAGAAAAAGAATAACTCTATCATTTCTTATATACAAGTTATGTTACATTTGTTAAATTTATATATAATCTCGATAATTTTTTTAAAATAATCAATATAGAAGATTATTTTTATTACAGATATCAAAATAACTGATAAATGATTCATACAAAGATAACATTGTTATAAAATTTTTAAAAAGTGTTTGCTTTATGTAAATGAAAAGCTTAATACAAATTCTTATAAGTACAATTAGGAGTGAAAAAATACAATTTCATACATTATATATGAAAGAATGAAAGTCAATATAACTGAATGAAGTGACTTGTATGGCCATCTCGATAAATAGGATCATCGGTGATTGCTGCTCGACATAACGGGCATGAACATTCTCGATTCAACCACGTTAAAACACATGTTTCACAAAAAATATGTTTGCAGTGTAATCTTACAGGCATCGAATATTGATCGTGACAAATTGCGCAAATTCCACCTGAAGCTACTAATTGCTCTTTTGATGGCGATACACCTAAATTCTATAACACAATTAATTATTAATAGTTTTATAAATTTCCTTTATTTTTAAAAAATTGTAAAACATACCACATTTTGAAGTAATTTCCAAATAGCAGTTTGAAATAATTTTAGACGGGATAATATATCAGTTCCTTTGCTCACTGTATACAATAGAGAAAGTAATACTCCAAATATTTTTTCTGTACCTTGATAACTTTCAAAAAAATAATATAACCATGGTTGAACAGGTGCAACACATCGATAAAGTTGAGATGTTGCTTCTACTACAAGAAAATATTTACCCTAAAACAAAATTGTCATTTAATTTTCTGATTAATTAATATTATTAAAAAATTGCATAATAGAACTCACCCTTTTTCGAAGAGCCAAAAGTTTTGAAGGTAAACATGTTAAAAAAACTTTAAAAATAATGGTAATCAATTTTAAAACAAAATCTGTTATCAAAACTGACCACAATAGTTCCCAAATGGTAAGAGGTTGTGAATATGGAGAAAATATACGTGTATCATATTCAAAATAAATAAAAACTATGCATCCAATAATATAACATGTAATAATTAAAAGTGATAGCCAACTTTTATTGTTTTGTTTTGCAATTTCACGTTTTACAACGTTGTTAGTATAATTAAATGTAACAACTAATACTATAAAATTTAATATACTAGCCCTGTAATCATAGAGGCCTTTGATAAGAAGAATGCAAACAAAAAGAATATATTTTCTAAGTCCTTGATACAATGCACGTGTTTGTGGACTAATTCGTATTGATTCTGTTGAATTTTCTTCTACATCATTATTATTGTTATGATTAATAACATTACTATTATTGTTTTGGCTTTCACTCACAACCTCGTTTGCAGCCTCACGAATATTATTCAAAAAATTGTCTGTTGCAGTTGTTTGATGATGATTGTCGTGAACTGAAACATCTTGCAAATTTGTACTATTTATTGACTGATCTTCAACATCAATGATGTAATTATCAGATGTAGGAGGTACAGTGTCTATAGAAGTTTGAACTCTTTGAATATTTAATAATGTACTTAATGAAATGCCAGGTTGCTACAAATATAAATAAAAATAAACATATTATTATTATATTAGAATAAAAATTTATAAAATATTAAAAATATATATATTTTTAATACATACACGTTCTAAAAAGGGCCTAATTTCTTCTATCGTAGAAGCTATATTATTTGAAAATATTCTAGAATGTTCCATATTTGGTACTAAAATTGAAATCCTTCATATTAATAAATTGTATAGAATGAGATAAACACAAAAATTGATATTAATATCTATCACGAAATATACGTACGGTGTAAAATTAATTCTTGTGCTTGTCGCAAAAAAACATCAATTAATGTCAAGATAAATCATGAGTATTTCTTTATATAACTATGTGATTAATATTAATACAACATGTGACAAATGGTAGATGAAAAGAAGTGGCATTTTCGTTATTGAAGATCAAACATTAAAACATATAACCACAGAAAAGAATTGTCATACTAGAATTTTGTATCAAATTCATTTCACAGATTAATATTTACTTAGGTATTAAAACTTGTTATGAAATATTAACTTTTTTCCTTTTTACAATATTGTATTTTCATTGAAAACTTTGAAAGTTTTCATAATTTTTGATACATGTAGATATTCAATTACGCCATTTTCTTTAGAAACATTCGTAACTAACATACCAACAGAGCTTTAAAACAAAGCGTCAAGTTTAAAATTATAATTTATAAATTTTTTTACTATATAAAATATAATAAACAGATAACTTTCTGTAAATTAAAATAAAATTCAAACATAAATACATGATTGATGATGAAATAAAAATTTGTTCAATAATTTTTTTTAAATAATTAAAACGAAAAAACAACCAATATATAGTTTTTAAAATTAATATATTTTATTTCATTAAAATTCAGTAAAGAAAAATTTACATTATTAAAATATATCACGAAATTATATATAATACTATACTTGACAATATTATTGATTTAATATAGAATTCAATAAAATTTATTTTCGAGTACTCTTTGCATGATTTCCTCGTTTATGTTTTCCTCGTATTCCATGAATAGAATTTGAATAAGTATGAGTACACTTGGATACCGGATGCTCAACCGGAGCATTAACTGCTTTTGTCCAAATGATCGATGCAATTGCACCCAACGCTCGCGACATACATAATAATACTTGATTGAATTTCATATCTTTTAATCCGTAAAACTATTCAAAAATATATATGAAATGAATTACAATTACAATATAAAGTAAGAAATTATTAAAATATCAAACCTGAAAAATAGGTGCAGCAATTGCATTTTGTTCGGGGCAAATATCTTTTCCTTTTGCTGTTTTCATTATCATAGTAAGTATTTGAGTGAGAGTTTGTGATAACTAAAAGAAAAAATAACAATAATTTGTTATTGAAAAAAATATTATCTTTTATACATATTATCTTTTATTTAACAATTTAACAATTCATTAAGATTGTAATTACTCATATAATTTTTAAAAGTAATAATAGTTTATATATTTTTTAATTAAAAAAAAATGTATATATAAATACCTTTACATTAGGATCATTTGGCAAATGTTCTCTCGTATAATTTATCAATGCGGTATATTTTGGGTCACAAAATTTTGTTTCTTGATAACCAGCTAATTTTTCCCTTTTAATCAAAGTAGCTATATAATTCCTTAATTTTTCTTCTTTCGATTCATGGCCAAAAAGTCGTTGTATTTTTGTATGGAATTCCATATACTATTTCATTAATATATTTTAAAAAGCTATTCAATAATATTTGAAATTATAAAAAAATATTTTATTTACTTCTGACATTGTGCCACTCTTAGGTTCATCAGTATATGCTAAGGCTCCTGCTGCAAGAGCTTGATTGACATACAATTGAGAAGCTCCAAGTATTTCTGTAATATGAACACTAGGAATTCCACCATTTTCATCTCTATAACAATATCTTATGATATAAATTTTTTTAACATATAATTAAATATTCGAAAAGGAAAAAGTTTTGATTTATTAATTTAAAAATTCTTTTTATGTACAAGAATAATTTACTTACGCGTTCAAAACAATATATAGTCGAAGAAAGTCTACCAATGAATTTTTTTGATATTCCGAAATATCAAATGTATTATATAAACATTCTGATAGAAATTGGACCCAATCACCAGTATCTTCTTTCAAGTTCTTTAATTCTCCTTTAGCGATTAGACCGACTATTGCTGGTAGCGTTGCTAATAATTCCATACTATCTTCATACGTATACTTCAAAAATAAAAAAATAAAAAAATTTTCAATTTGCATTTTAATTAATTATTTTAATTTGATTTTTTATTTTATTTTTTTCTACTTATCAAATAAATAAAAATAAATATTTTTTACAAAATTAATTATTAATCCCTGTCTAAAATTATGCAATTGTCTATTTTTAATAATCAGAATGTAATAAAAATTTCATAATTTTATTAATACTAAAATACTCTTCTTTCAATTTCGAGAATTTATTAATTTATTAAATTTCAAATTAAGAACTCACTTCCCAATGAGTATAGCTTAAAGCGCCATTTTTTAAAGCTTCTTGCATGTATTTGCCACACTCAAAAACGGTGAGAGCTATCGATAGTTTTCCAAGAGGTGTCGTTGTTTTTGGTAGATTTTGAAGAACGGAGCCCACAATCCCGCCACCTGGTCCCGACCACCAATCTTTCTTTTTCTGGCGTCGTATCGACCAATCGGCAATCAACGATGCTGTTTGTTCTTTTGTTGGAACATCACCAGTTAACAGTAACCAAAATACAGCTTCCGCACTTGGTGACTTTCCTTCTCGAGGTAAGAGTGTAATAACTTCTGGTATAGTTAGTCCTCTATATTTGATCTATACAAAAGTAAAAGTTGTTTATTTTCGATCCATCTTTAAAAGCATAAGTGAAATATTATTAAAAATTCCAGATTTTTACATGGTATCGAAAAATTTATTAAAATTACATTAAATAAAAATAAAATATACTTGAGAATATATCTGATTTTTACTGTATAAATTATAATAATATAATATAATATTTACCCCATATTTTGCATCAGTCTCAGAAGTTTCTCTGACAATAGTATTCACGCCACTTAATCCTTGATAAATATTTTCTACGGTTACTTGGCTGATGACTGATGATCCATATTGTTGACGAAAATTTCTCAATAGATCATAATGTATAGGAATCTTTTCACACAAAGCCTCCTTCAAGTCTGTACTTGTACTAGGAACGCCTCTTGTTGTACTCACCTTAACATTTATTTTATTTTTTCATATCTTTGCAAAAATATAATTCCTTTTCTATCAGTGATAATGATAATTAATTTTTCAACTTTATTCATTAATTGGCATATCATAAATTATACAAAAATAAATTACTAAAATTAAAACAAAAAAATTATATAGAAAAGAATTCTTAAAACGATTTCAAATATTTTTATAATTATTGATGGTATAAATAACGATAAAAATTTTGAAAAGCAAATTGGCTGCGAATAACCTCGTACATCGGTAAATCGATTCCAACCGTCAATACGTGTCGCTGTCCATGAAAATTAACGTTGCTGCGATTCCTCACATTCTTTAGAAACATCATCCGCATTTTCAGGAACTGCGATTCTCTCCAAATCCAAAACATCTTTTCGAAACTCCTTTTCTACGAGAATCTTTAAACGTAAATTATTTCCATGACAAAAAATTGTTGAAAAATTGATCTACCACATTATTTCTCGTATTTATGTAGATTTATGAAAATTTATTATTTCTATAACACAAAATATAAAATTTAGTCATGGCTTCGTTTCAAATTGAGAAGACGAAGGTCGAATTATGGTATTATTTCTCGTTGCAATATTTAATCGAAAATTTTCTTTTGTTTTTGTTTTTTTCTGTATATGTCATGAAGTTTTATATTAATTTGAAATATTACTTGTTTTAAATATAATTTGAGATAAGAGGAATTGAAAATATTTGATTGATAAAGGAGATATCAATAAATGGGTAATAAGGAAATAAGCTAAATAAAAAATTCATAAAACGATTTAATTTTCGGTTCGTTTTTTTTTTTTTTTTTATTGCGTTACTCCTGCATACAAAATATTACGTGGTATTTTGTATGTAAAATGACGCTTATTTGACATATTTTCGATCACTGTACAAATTCACGTCGAAGTTTCTGTACCTTGTCTAAATTTGCTATTTCGATACAAAGATTTTTTTTCCAACGAACACATGTTGTAATGTAATGTACAGTTTATATGTTGTTCTATTCAATATATTTAACACTTAGTAAATTTATTCTGCGTGGTCTACACGTGTACTGAACAACAAATTGATGTGAAAATAAAATAACAACAATCGATTGTTGGCACAATATTCTTGATTTTAGTAATTAACATAAAAAACATTTTAATGATCGTTCAACGATCGTTAAACTTTGTTATACAGAACTGTTTCGCTTATTAATCGTTTAATTATTGAGCCAATAATATTTTGCGTTAAAATGCGTACAAACGACAACGGTTAACACACATTTTTTTAGAGATCTGCGTATGTATACAGGTGTACAGTATTTCACAATATCAACAGCTACGCTTACTGGCTAGTGATTAATTCCTTAACGGTATAGTAAAATATATATTATGTATATTGTATACACTATTGCTTGATCTGAGGTAACTCTTAATAACACACTATTATTACATTTATTTGTTTGCTATTATCATTTTTGTTATTATTAATATTAGTATTATTATTATTAGGCCGAATACATTATTGAAAAATAAAATAAAAAAATCATTTTGTACATTCAAAGATACAATAATACAGCAACAAAATAAATATACAATAAAACAATATCACAGATAAAACAATGTTAAAAATAGAATGAAATTTGTTACGTTTGTACACAGATTTTTTAAATTTTTGCTCACAAATATAATTTTCCGAGATTTATGTAAAATGATTGATTTTAATTGATAAATAAATTTACCTCTCATATTGTACTTTGAATAAATTTAATTATTTTATAATTTTTTAAACATTTTTCAAAAATTTATATTTAATTAATGAAAATTGAGATATATCTTATAGAAATTAAAGATTTTGAAAAAAGAGATAAATCCATTTATATATTAATTTTTGTAATATAAAATATGGCTAATTTTTTACAAAATATAAAAATTGCACGATATATTTACAAAGCGAATTATAAAATAAATTGTCGAAATTAAATTACACATAGAGAGATTCGGCAGTCGATCACGTAAATACATACGTATTTGCAATGTCATTCTCAAAAGAGCAGTTGTATAACATGATTGCATTATTTTTCAGTGTTAAAATTACACAATGAGCAGTTTTGATGATAATATTCACAGACAAGATCTGAAGCTTCTTCGATTCGCGAAGTATGTATATTCAATATTTTCTCCATAACTAGATTCTCATAATACTGATAAAATACTGATTCATGAATTTTGAGAGATCTATTGCAAAAAATAATCAATCAAGATGACAAAGTTAAAATTACAATGAAGACAAAGTTAAAATTAATTGAAAAATAATAAAATCATCTTACTTTAAAATAACTTTTGATTGCTTGTTTCAATTTGTACTTATTATATAGTTATTAAATTTATAAAAATGATAAAAACGTTTAGAATCTTTTCATAAAAAACTGTTCATATTTTCGATGAAAGATCTCAATGTCTTGACTAGTAATTACAATACTGCATTCTGTATTATCAGTTACTGCATTATCGATTGATGAACCGAAGAAATTCATGTATTCTTTTGTATTTCATATTACAATTCCGTTAGATGACACCGGAAATAATTGTTTCGCATTTTCCATTTCTGGCTCAAAAAATCTACGACCCTGTATCATGGTATGGATAGAAGCAACTTCTTTTGATAATGTGGTCGCAAAAGTCGAGCACGTTGATTTTCTGGCTTCAATGTCAGAGAAGAATACATTTTTCGCTGGTGTCATGCGAGTGAGATCGCAAGGGTTGTGAAGGTGCAGGCGTGGGGGAAGGTGGTCGTCCTTCCACGGCTTGAATACTCTTCATTAATTCACGAAACACCTATTAGAAATATATATTTACTATATATTTTCATTAAATATATTTTTTTACGTTTTATATTTTTATTTTATAATAATATATGCAACAAATTATATATTACCAATACAATATCGTTTTCAATATGGCGTTCAATTATTTTTGAAAACTTTAATGAAAAATGTTTTTTTAAATTTTAATTATGTTTTATAAAATTGAAGTTTCTTGGAAATAGTTTTTTTCATGATAATATAGAATATTTTTCGTGACAAGATTCAGTATTCAACAAATTAGTTCATAAAAAAATTATTTAATACATAATGGTGACGTTAATTCCTCTATATTTTTTTACTTGAATTTCTTTTTTAACAAATGAAAAATTTCCAAAAATGTATTTATTTTAAAAAATAATAAATATTTTTATATTGAAAATATAAAATTATTTATTTATTTGTGTATATATCTTTAAAATTACTAAAATATAAAAATATGAATGCATCTATTTATTCGATTTAAATATTTTAATTAATTCCAACGTCATCGATAATTCCCACGGCGTTCATCGTATTAATAATACGATATTGTACATACCTGCACAACACGGCAGTTAAATCTGGCGCTACATTCCACGTAGCCGCATCGCCAGTGCTTTCGAACGAGATTAACGATGTCCCTGTAGCGAGTTCCGGAAGCAGCCGCAGGCGACAATTCGTCTTGTTTGTTCCCAACTACCAATAACGGTACGCCCCTCATGTCTCGTGCTTCGTAGATTTGATCTCGTAACATTCTAATGTGCTACGATAAATTAAACATTATATAATAAATTAAATTGTTTTAATATAGATGAGATATAGATAAAGGATAGATATAAAAATAATAAAAAATTATGGAAAGCATGTGTAATAGATATACATTTTATAATAGATGAATATATTTAATAATACAATATAATATAAAATATTAATTATATATAGTATAATAATATACGGTATATTACATGACAATATAAACATGTATATTAAAATATAATGATTAATTAAAAAAATATTGTAAGGGAAATCTTCGTCGATTTTTTCTAAATCTGTGCATATTTTTCGTTTTCGAATGGGGAAACGAAAGGGAGTATAAAAAGGAAAAATAATCACAACGAAGATAGAACGAAAAAAGTTTTTATCCCTATATTGAGATAAAGAAAGGTAGGAAATTGAGCATAATGAAATGGGGATAATGGTAATTGGAGTGGAAAAATTTTTAGGAGAATTCCTAGGCATAAATACAATCTGGAATCTCTAGAAAAAATATATTTGCAAATGAAAAAATGTTGGAATTAAAACGAATAAATTGTTAGCAATATAAACAAATTTAATTATTTAAATTTATTATATATTATTATTTAATATTTTAAATAAAACAATTGTATTTACATATTTATATTATTATCTCGAATTAAAATTATTAAAGAAATTCATTTGAAATTTTTCCAAATTTTACATTTTAGATTTTTATACTTAAAATTCTGTGTTTACAATGATTAACTATTATGTAAAGATTTTGTAGAATCAGATAAAAATATGGCCTAGGACTATAAAATCATAAAATCCTAAGTGCTTCATTTTGTCCAATTTTCCACGAGATATCATCAGTATTCAAAAAGTTATCGAGAAAATAAGATCTACGATTGTCTCGTAATAAAATCTTGGTCTCGTATGAATTAGAAACACGGATAATCTTATCATTCTTCTGATATAATGGTTTCTGATAAGGTTATGCCTAAGCTAAGGTTATGTTTACACTATATAAAAAAGTAATGTTATATATCAAATTATTATATGTTATAACTTTGTTATATCTATTTTTATAATTACCAAATCTTTCTATTTTACGAAACATTATTTTTTATAATTAAAAAAAGATAAGTTATTATTTTTCATAAACTAAAAAGAAATCTAATAATAAATTATTCGATCAAAATTATTTCGACCAATCAGAATTAAATTAATACTAAATTACCAAAATATACTATATAGGTAAAACTAAAAGTAACCAGATGGCGCACATCCATAGTAAATTGGTAATATATTTTTATACATGTATGCATACCTGAAACGTGTCCTGGTTGCTGAGATCGAATACGAGAACGTAAGCGTTCGCACTTCGTAATCCGTAATAACGAAAGTCCGTCCATTCGAGGTGCGAGCTGACCGGAAAGTACGGGATCATTGGTAGATCCGTGATTTTTAGTTCGTATAATCGATCGGCAAGTACCACGCTCGGATAGAAAGTCTCTCTACGTTCAGTTGGCTTGTATTCTTCGCTGAATTCGCTCCAAACGAATTGCTGGAACCCATAAATGAGCACTAACACTAATGTACCTTTACGATTCGAATTTGTCGTTCTCGTTAACGGGAAATAAATGGTGAGAATTCTAGGACTTCCTGCGTGTCTCAAAAACTGTCGACTGATTTTAAGTATTTCACGTAATTAACGATTCTTTCGAGTTATCGAAGCGTAAATTCATCGAAAATATTTTATGATATTTGACTATATATAATTTTATTCAAATTTTTTATACATTAAATGTGTGTATGGTGTAAATAATTATTGAATTAAGATTTGTTTTTTCAAGATAATATATCACGATGAAAATTATTATTTCTTTGCCAATTTTTCATATATATAATATTTGAGAAAATGTGTTGAAAATATAATTGCACATGATAAAATCTTTCTGTACGTATATTACGATCTTTCCTATGATTAAAGAATTAAAAAACTGCTGTTTCATGATAATAGGAAAAAGGATTCTGAAAACTGAATTATATTATGTTGAATATTGGATAATAAAAAAATTTATAAACTATGAAATAGAGGCGAAATATACGGAGTTATTGTTTCGAAGTGTCCAAGACTTGGAATTCCAATACTTTTGGAATGCAATGTTGTGAGTATATGTATATTCCACTATCTCTCGCCTGTTGCATCGCTATAGTAATAATATATTATTATCGATATATATATATATATATCGAATTATTAACAAGTAAAAAAAAAAGATCTTGTATAATTTATTTAAAAATATTTTAAATAATGTAATCTTAATTATCGATTAATTTTTTTTTAA